TTGTTTTTTGGTTTTCTTTTTTTTTTTGTTGGTCGGCTGGTTTGTTTGCGTTTTTTTTTCGGTAGGGAGTTTTTGCGTAAGACTTGTTCCTCCTTCTGTGTCTAAACAATTGCTCCTAAAAGGTACAGCCTGCGGCAGGGATGAGCAGGCCAGTAGTTTGACCAAAACATTAATTAGTTTTTTGAGAGAAACTAACTCCACCGGTCGTTTTGGTGTGCAGAAATCAATTATAAACTGTCTTCATTTTACAGAAACAGTAGTTTTTTTCTGTTAACTGTAAATTGTATGAGGCTTGCTGTTTATCTCTTTACAAGTTAAAGTCTTTTTGATGCCATCCTCTTCTCATTATTGTCAAATTAAGAGAGAGGAATACAGATGTATTTGTTGGTTATAGATTGTCTCAAAGACTCATAGCTCATCATGGCAATGTTTTAACACATACTAGTGTTTGGGACCCTCAGGTGGTCGAGTGTGTACTATTACTGCACTCATATTTTGTCTCGTGCTTGAACGTGTTTGAGGAATTTCACCAAATGGCAGGTGAAGAAAGGCACATGCTTCAGTGTGATCGTTGTTTGGACTTCCGCAGAGAACTGTTTTTGATTTTGTCATTACTGGTGTGATAACTATTTGTTAGGTTTCACTTCTGTGCTCTTCATTCCAGTGTTTGAGGTGGACTGCACTGTAGTAAAATACTTCATCACTGCCATTTTACTTTAGATGTAATTCCAAATAGCTTTAGTTATAGCCTACATTAACTTCTACAGGTTATGTCCTTTGAGTCCCTTTGTAGCTTGCGAAGTCTGGAACAGAGCAGACAACTCTTTACATTTTACAAATTCTACAAATGCAACTTCACATTCTTGAAGTCACTGCTAGGTGCAACTGTCTCTACCTTTTGAGGAAAGGTGAGACTCTTCTCCCTGAGTCATGTCCTTTCTGCCATTCCTTGCCTTCAGTGCCTGGGCTGCTAGGTGGTAACAGACCTCAGCTCCTTTGGGTCCCTGCTGAACCCAGAGCTGCTGCATTCCCTTTGATAATTCACTAGAAGGTCTGTAACACAGAGTTTAATATAGTATCAGAGTTTTGGGTCTCCAGCACCCAGATGCATTTGATAGTCCTGGAGATTATGAAAACTGGAGGAAAAAATAATTATATTGCAGAGAGGTAAAATTAATTCTGGGGCTGGAGCTGCCACCTCCAAGTTGGCATTACATGGCTGGAGAAGCAGCTGTGTCAGCAGATCTCTCCTTCCACCACAGTAGCTCTCCTGTGTGTGTGAGTTACAGTGAGCTCAGTGATTCTCTAGTCAGTGTTGCCTAAGGTAGCTTGGAGGTTGACCAGAGTGCCACTGCAGTGTTCTGCAGGGAAGAAGGCGGCAAAAGCAGATTCAGGGTAGTCTAGCTCTTCTTCCACACTGAGTTCTCTACCTGGTGATCTGTGAGTGGATGTTTCAGCAGCTTGTTGCACTGCTGTGGTTTCTGACAGCGTGGCCACTGGTGTAAAAGTCTGCACTGAAGCTGAACTGTGCAGCGTGGCCACATACTGGTGCCACCACAGCAGGAGGAGTAGGGAGACCAAGAGCAAGTCTGAAAGCAGCCTCACTGGGCCTGTGCTGCTTTCTGATAAAACACAGGATCTGTGTGTTCATAAGGACCTTGAAGTGTTGCAGTTCCAAACCTTGTCCTGTAGCTGTAGCTGGTATCTCCAGCATTGCACTATTTTCCTCAGACCTAACAATCTTCACTGTGCTAAGCTTGAAAATTCAAGTAGATAAGCATTTCCTTGTGAGTATTCTTAATCATAAGTCACAGGGCACTAATAAAACAAGCATTATACCAAACTAAAGTTACTGAAGGAAATGGTTTTTTTCTAGATTAAATAAAGCACCCTTTTGATCCTGGCTTTTTTTAATATAGTAATCTTACCTTTTAACTGAATGTGTGCAGGAAGAATGTTAAAGGTAGTCTTTTGTTTAGTTTTAAGTTGCACCCTTCTTGCACAATTCTTAAGGCACAAATATATTAATCCTAGAATGTATATAGTTTTCAGCATTTTCCAGAGTAATCTAACAATCTGAAAGTCTAGGATCAATAAGCAACATAAGTAATCTGGGAACAGGCCCATCAGTACCACTGCAGACAACGATCTTCTCTAATGCTTCGGTATATTCACGGTTGGAGTGGGTGGATTTTTACTGGCGTGTTCCTTTGCACTACACCTCGTGCTCCACGGGGGGGTAGCAACAGAAAATAGGAGATCTGTTAAAACTGCTTCAGTGTATCAGTGTTTACACTGTCCGGTTTGGAAAGCTTTCTCAGAGAAGTATGTGATGTGTAAGGAAGACCACAGCGGCTCTGTCTGTTGAAAGAGAATGCTTGATGAGCCAAGTAATATAGTCGTTGAACAAGTGACATTTATAAATCTGAAAATCAAGAAAAAGCTAGAGTGAGAAGCAGTTGCATGGGTGTGTTGTGGAAGGGGGGTATTGTATGTTGTGGAGTGGAGGTTTACTTGAAAAAGTTTCTGTGTTTAAAAGTATTTTTAAATGGTGGAACCATGCAATGATGTCGTGCCACAGTGGTTCAGTTGGGTTTTTCCCCCCCCACACGGTAAGCAGCTCAGCCATGGTCTGAATTCTGGTCATGATGGAGAGAAAGAAAAAAAAAAAAAGAAAAAACAACAACAACAAAAACAGAAGCGTTTTCTCTGTGTGAGATAAATGATGACATTATTTAAAAATGCCATTACTAAGCTTGAGATTGTGAAGGACCTGGCATCCCCCATTTGATCCAAGGGACTAGAAGTGTTACAAACTCAGGATAAAACTTGACTTAATCAGAAATGATCCCTAGAAAGACAAAACCAAGGTACTTCCCAATGAGGAACTACAAAGAAGAAAGTTCAGATCCATTGTCCTTTAGCTAAAGTATGACATCACAACTGAGCTTCATCTGTGAGAATATATGTTTCAAATTGCCTGTTTTTTCTTTCCCTTTTTTGTAAGAGAAGTAGAACGGGTGAGAAATGAGGAAGAGCAAGAACTGGGTGATTATGAAAGCATGACAGATAGGTGGCAATTGTGAGTCACTTCATGCTTCACTGCAAGGTGTATCAAAACACAGCATAGGACTTCACTGGATTTCCTAAGGAAATAAAATATATTTAAGTGGCTGTTTGCCCTCTCTTTTCTATTTCCATTATACTTCGAAACTGTCAGTCAATTTCATAAAAATGTGAGAAAAAAGTACTTGAAAAGAGTTAATTAAAAAAATAGAAGTAAGAGTCTGTTAAGTTTCTCCTTAGGGAAGGGTTCTGAGTTGGATAAAACCTGGCAGTAGTGCATCTGCACAGCAGACAGTTAGTGACCCAGCTGCAGAAAAAGTTTGAATGAGCACTTAGACCTTCTTAGGTACCAGATGACTTAACTGTAAATATGTGAAGAAGCCCCAGCGGTACTCACAGCAGGGGAAACTGTCAGCAGATTCTTCTTATTTCACTTGTGAAGAGGCTGCTGAGCTGTCCCCCTTTTCAGAAGCTGTACAGAGACTACTTGCAGAAATGGGGAATTTCTTAGATCTTGGCAAGTCAACACAAAAACTTTGATTTATTTTTGGAAATACTCTCATCTTCTGCATGTAATGCTGTACAGTAATGCCTGGTGTTCAGTATAGCAGTTATACATAGGACTGTTTCTCTGCACGTAAACAAGAAGCCTTTGTTATAATATGCTTTACGCAGGTATTTCTCAATATAAGATGCATTTTCAAAGAACACCTTTCTTGTAATAGGAATAAATTATGAATTGGCACATCTTTGTGCATTTTCTATAACTTTTTTAAATTCAGTATGTTTAAAGAGGAGAATCGTAGTGTAAGAATTGGCAAATGAAATACCGTTGTTTAAAATCAGTAATTTGAAATTTCCTTTCTGTGAAACTGTGCTGGGCGTATTATGTCTTGTTGATTTGTAGTCTAGACCCATCTCAAGCGGCAAATAGATTTTTGTAGCTGCCTAGTTAGTTTTTGAGACATGTTGTTAAATGGAGTGTAATCTCAAGAAGACTAATGCATACTTTTCTGTGTAAGATCGGAATTATTGGTGGAACTGGCCTGGATGATCCGGATATCTTAGAAGGAAGAACAGAAAAATATGTTGATACTCCTTATGGCAAGGTCTGTATAACATTTTTTTTTTAATTACTGAGACTATTTGCTGCTTTTAAAGATGTTTGTATGCTTTAAGATTTTTTATAGACTAAATGAATGCGTAAAGGAGGTAACTGTCACAAGACTGTTCCATTTTGGTTGCTATGTATTGTGTAATTCTTAGTTTGTAGAAACAAGGTGTTACGAAGTTCTGTGTGCAAAGGAGACTGTGCCTTTTCTCATTTGTAGACTGGATGAATTTTCAAACTTAGTCCTGAATTTCCAGTCAGGAGGGGTAAACCCTCTCTTTCAAATCTGTGCTGTTGGGCATACCTGTAGTTTATGTCAAATCCCTCCAGGAACCTTTCTGAATTTCAGAAAACTATCCTTTAGAGTATGCAGGCCACTGTTTTCCCTGTAACCATTGAATGATGCTATACATACCAATGCTGTCCTTACTGTCCTATATAGAAGCATATAATTTGAAACTGAAACATAATTTAGAACTGGAACATTTGAAAAAGAAGCTCTGAAACTGTTTTTGTGGCACCACTATTCCTGACCAACTCTTCACATTGTTTCAGCCCTTTTCCTTAGCAAAAGGGAAGGATACAACCAGTGTTGCTCTATATGCAGTGCTGATTGTGTTGTGAAGGACAATTCCTGCCTCAAACCTTTTGTAGTAGGAACAGACAAGACAAAGGATGAGATGAGTAAGAGTGTAAAAAGCAAGCAGAGTTTGTGTGTCCACCATCCAAGAAGGTGAAAGAGATCAAAATTAAGGGAGAAGAAAACATAATCAGAAAAATACTTTTAACTTTTCCATTATCCTTCAGTATCTGTTAATAAACTGCAAGAGAATGAAGGGAACTTGCCTCCTCCATTTTCTGTACCCTCCTGTCCAGCCAGCATCAACTTACATTATTAGGCAATCTGGGGGTATTTTTTTTTTCAGGTGAAATCTGGAAAGGTTTAAAGGAAACTAGAATGAGAATTTTTGCAGTTCTCTGTATTTGCATTGGTCCTCCCATGATCTTTCAAGTTAAACTAGTACTAGTGAAAATGTAGTACATTCGGTATTTTTAAACTAAAAATATGCTTACAGCTGTTAATATTCCAACCTTCTTTCTCCCTTGCTCACTTCCACCATTTTCATTGCATCAAAAAACATGATACTCTATGGAAAACATGCTAAAACCTTTTGGCAGTCTTATTGCCAGGCATGGAAAATACTGTTCCCTGACAGAACAAGAAAGTTGCTTGCAAGAGCATTTAACTTCATCACTGAATTTTGAAGTTACTAATACATTTCTTGTTCTGAATATACTTTCAGTTAAATTGTGTTCTGGATGACAGAACTTGGTTCTGAATCACCTTTCTCCAAATTGGCAAAATATCTTCCTGTTCTAGAAAATTATTTTAGGTGCTCTTCTCTTTTTTTGGTCATGGGTATTACTGACATAAAAGGGGGGCAGGAGAGGAGGAGTTGGGTCCACCTTGCAAATGTGTGTTGTGTGCTTGCAACAGGAAAATCAGACCATGTGATATAACATAAGTCCTCTTCTGCCTCCCTAAAATCATGTACGTTTTTTGGTTCCTGGGCTAGTTAAATGAAAGCTTGGGGTACCTATGAGATACTTTTCCATTGCAAGTCTTCCTTAGTTTTTTTATTTTGCTTGTTCATTCTTTTTTCTGCTCCAACTTGCTTCTGAGGTGAGACCAAGGAGAAGTAAATTCTGCAAGCACCACATGAGCAATACTTTTTATTTCAACTGTTTTACTGTTAACTGCCCAGGGTTCTTTGCCCCTTTTCCTGCTTTGAATTTTGTGGAAGAGGAAAGTAAATATGTATAAGAATTATTAACATTTGAGAACATTTTATTTGGTCTTTTATTACATCCTGCTTTAAAATACTGTATTTGACCTCTAAATTTGGATTGTTCCAGTGGAATTCTGTATTCAGGCAGTCACCCAGAAGATGCACTGAATGTGTTCTGTGGAAGTCTGTGTAAAGAAGACAATGTTACATGGCCTGGAGCCGTCTGAAGTGACTAGGATGGCAGCAGATAGGGAAGGAGGCCTTGGCTGCTACCACTAGACTTTGAAGCCTGTTGGATCTCTAAGGTGTTGCATTCTTGCTGCACCCACAGTGTATGCCAGAATTCAGTGGAGTTCTGTGGTGGTGAGGATGAATATCAAACAGCAGTTAAACTGCAGCTTTCTACCTTAAATCTTTTTGAACTTGGTATAAACTCGAATCTATCACTTGCAGTAAGCCTGAATCTGTCACTTGTAAAGCAAAGGGCCCAACATTTAACTTACTGATCTTTACTTTTTGTCTGCTAGGAAGCAAGGAAATTTGGCTGTCCTATTAGTTTGTTTTGTTGATTTTGTTGGTTTTTCTTTTTTACCCGGCTGTGAGCTAAGTTGCGTGCTTATTACTTCACACAGAAAATTTGTGCTCTCTAAACAAAACAAACCCAGAAATCCCCAAAATTTCAACTGCAAATTATTATAAACCTTTACTATTATGGAATGTTACAAAAATCAAAATGACTTGGCAAGGCTTTGGCCCGCTGTGTCAGGTTCACAAAACTGTATTTAAAGTAAGTAAATAGATTAAATATTTAAATGTCAACAAGTTAATATTAAATGAAGATGTTTAAAAATAAGTCAGATTATAATACAGTTCTAAAAATAAATTTTTTTGGAACATTCAATTTATTTTTTAAAAAAAAAAAAAGTGTCAAATCTGTTTCTGGCAGAATTTAAATATGGGGGACTGAGTAAATTATGGTGCTTTGAAGAAATTTAACATTAAAAATGACCAAAAAGGGCTGTGCAAGAAGGAGTAGAAAGTGGTGTCTTTATTGAAAATTAGTATCTCTAAAATGCAGCTGTGTGAGACTCACTTATTACTTTATTCCAGATGTCTGCGAATTTTCAATTGTGTAATGGAATTAACAGCTGTAAAACTAAATGCTAATTTAAGCCTTGCACCTAGCATGAAAATACAAATAAAAATACTTTTAGAGAGCAGGCAAAAGCAAATTTCTAAACGCAAATATATGAATCCTTCCAGAAACGTGCAAACTTGTAATTAGTAAGTAAATAGTAATTTTGTTAATAGCTATTTCAGCTTGAAATCCAAGAGCATGGAAGAAAAGATTGGCACAGGGTGGCTCCAGTTTGTTTGAAGTTTCTTCTACACTGCAGTGGAAGGAAGGAAAAGCATTCAGTTCTCAACAGGGCAGGAGAAGCAGCACATCCAGTGGCACCACCCTGCAGCCCAAATGCAGTTTAGTATATAATGAAACAGAGGACTCAGATCCTTTAACAAAAAGGGAAGCTGTAAGAATTGTGTGTCTCAGATCCCTGTAGCATATAGCCTAGGAGCTGAAGGGGGCTGTGTGACTATTTTGTACCCCAGCCGGGGAGCTAAAACCAAAATGCTCCAGTTGCTTGGATGTTTGGTTAGTCAGGGAGAATGCACGATCTCAGTGTGTAGCTGAGAGGAGAGAGCATTGCTGTCTTCAGGTTCCTGGGCTGACCCAATATGACACTGCTTCTGCTACTAGTGTACCAGAAGTTCTCTGTCATATCACAATTCATTTCCCAAAAGCAAAACTCTCAGCAGCAGGAGAGACAGAGTTTAGCAGGAAGTGGGAGAGCAAAAGATTGGCTGGAGGAGTCTGGAACTCCTCCTCACACCTCTAGTGTTGGCTAGGGGACCATGGTAGAATGGGGACAGAGAAGAGAAGAGAAGAGAATGGGGAGTGTTATGGAAAGAGACAGATTAAATGTGATTTCTTTTGGGAGCGGCCCTTTTTGTAGGGCATGGCACCTGTTCTTCAAAAAGCAAACCAAGTTTACAGGAGAGAGTGAAACATGCTAACCAACTTAAAGGCAACATGTACTTGCTTCTTTTTTCATATTTGTGTAGCACTGTTTGAAATACTGTTTCAGAGTGTTTGAAACTATTCCTGTTCCAACCCCCAAAGTAGGGAGTTGCAATATTAGTGCTAATACAGACACAGAAGAAAAATTTGTTAAACCTTCTGGACTTAAGCTTAATCTTCCTGTTCCAGGCAGTTTTACTCATCTGCCATATCAAATTACAGAGCTGAGCTGAAGAAAATGTGTGACTACAGTGGTAACCAGTATTTCCTTTCGTAACCATCCTGCTTATTTTTATATAGCAGTTAAGGTTTCTAATGTGATTGTCAGGCTGTAGCTCATTCTTATTTCCTTGTTTTGCAGCCTTCTGATGCTTTGATATTGGGAAAGATAAAAAATGTGGATTGTGTGCTGTTGGCAAGGTAAATGAGGGTTTTAAAGGGCTTTATATTATGTGTCTTAAAGTTTTCTCTGAACTTTTTTCTTTTTACTTTAGGAGAGTTGAATTTTTACTCTGACTTCGTCTTGCTCTGTGTATCTTCTGTCAAAGTCCAGCAGCAGTCTGCGTTTTTCCCTAAGCAAATTTGGTGCTACAGGGACTGAGAGTGTTAAAAATACAGTCTAGGTTAGGAAAGACAAATCTGACTGGAAAGACAGCTCCTAAGTGGACTGTGCTGCCCTAGTGAGAATGGCAACCTGCAAGGCTGCCTGCTCTGGTGGTAGGTAGGTGGTGCCTGATAACCTCTGTAATTCCATCTGCTCCCTGTCTTTGCAAGTTTCCGTTGTGAAACTGGAAAATTGCCCATTTCCAGATGAACTGTATCTCTAATGCCACTGTAGACTTCCAAATCATCCCCTTGATTATCGAGTCCTCTGGCTGTTACCTTTATTGCTTAAGAGGCTGCAGAGGCTGCATCCCCTGTAGTTCTTTCTCCCTGGGTCATTTTTATTCAGGCACCTCTTGCCATACTCAGAAGAGACTGATGAGTGCATAGAAATTTCACAGTAATGTAACTGTGGATATCTAGGGCCAATGTGTTGGTAGGTTAAACGTAAGAATACTAACACAGTTCTCAGCATCTGGACAGCATGGGCAGAACCAGGTGCAGATAGCAAGGTCCATCAGCAGTCCCACGAGCTGAGGCAATGAATCAAGTCCAAGAGCCATCCAGCCAGTCTGGGCCAGAGGAGCAGGAAATGGGGCCAGAGACAGGGCTGGAGACAAGGCTGCAGTATGTGTCCAAAGTCCATCCAGAAAACAGATCTAGAGACAAACTACAGCATAGCTCTGAAGGCCATCCAGGAGACAGGGCTGGGGACAGGCACACCTGTGACAGCGCAGGCCCGGAGTGAAGGCTGAGGCCAGAGTTGGGAGGTGGGAGCACCTAGACTCATGGGCACCAGGTGTTTGGGAAGAGGCCCAGTGTGAGGCTGGCCAGGGCACTTACAACCCATTGATGCACTCACAGCCCCCATTCTTTTCATGCCAGCATTTTTCCATTAAGCTGCTGACTGTTACCATCTCTGCAACTACACTTCTGTCTTATCTGCATGGACTTCGCTCATGTATTTTGTTACACCTGGACAACATTTTTCTCATTTTTGCATATGAAATGCTAAGCCAAGATCTCACAGATATCCTGTATCAAAGTAGGCCTTGGGTTACAGGTGGCTGAACAACTTGGCTGTGGTTTGCATTCTCACTGGGATATATGACTATTCACATGTGACCCTTGTGAGTTTACTTTTGGGTCTAAGGTATGTGCAACTTCACTTTGTGTTTTGGGAAAAATAAAAGTTGCTTGTGAATGTTAGATTGAAAAAAAAAAAAAAGGCATGTATATTCCAGAAGAGGATTATAACAACTGCAACATTTAAAAAATAAATCTACATGCCTAGTAATTTACCAGAAATGCTAATGACAACATGGAAATTTTGCCTGACAGTGTTTGGTCATGTTGTGTGTCACTCCCCAGTTGATCAAGCTCTTAAGACCTTTTGGTCTTGGTGAAAGAATCAACTGGGAAATTAAGTTACTCCTTTCCTCTTGCATTGTTGAAAATAATTTTCAAATGTGTTTAGTCATTATGTGAATGATGTACCTGTGTAGTGACAGAGATAGCACAAAAGCTTGTGCTTAAAAGCCTAAGCATTTCCTTTCTTGGTGAAAAAATATACTGCAACAGTGTGCAGTCATTCTTTTAATTTATGAAAGCTGTCAGATCATTATAAAACCAAGGAGAAAAATGTGGTGATTCTACTGTTTCCTTTGGGAGGATGACAGATTAAAACGATGTGTTCTTTCTGGTTTTAATCTCCTGTGATGTGCCACTCTTTTCTGGGTGGGAGAATGCAAACAACACTTCCGAGCAGAAAGTTAGTGACATATAGAAATCTTGCAGATTTGTTTTAGTGTATGGAAGATTTCATTTGCTACATCTGGGTTTTCAGAACCTATGGAACTCATTTCAAAAATTCAGAGAAAGATGGGTTTTGTACTCTTGAAGATGCTAAAGGGTGTTTGAGTGGTATTTTAAGATTCTTTTCATTGAACTTAAAAATTTTGCATTTAAAAGGAAAACTAAAATGCTATTTCTTAAATCAAATAATAAGAGAACCTTCATACATCTAGGAAAACAAGCTACACTGGAAATAGCTGAAATATCAGGTCCCCTTCCAGTGTTGTTAGGGAAATTACATTTCCTGGAATTCTCTTTATCTGGAAGAATAAAGGCAATTTCAGTCTGATTTATTTTACTCTTTTGTAACATGTATCTTTGCAGACATGGAAGACATCACACAATTATGCCATCAAATGTCAATTATCGTGCCAATATCTGGGCATTAAAAGAAGAAAATTGTTCACATGTATTAGTAACTACGGCCTGTGGTTCATTGCGAGAGGTAATACAACCTGGAGATCTTGTAATTATTGACCAGTTCATTGACAGGTGGGTAACATTTTGTTTTAATTATGTTCTTTGTTTTGGGGGAGAAAAAAGGGTGCAGTTAAACAATATAATAACATGTTAACTTTTTGTGGAATGCAGTGGTAATTCTTTTGGCAAAAAGTGAGATTCATAAAAGAATTTGTGATAGGAAACAGGAATGAGATTACATTCAGCTCTAACAGACAGAAAAGAAATATTAGGCTTTCAAGAATGACCTTGAATGAGCTAAAGTGTAGCTCCTTGGGAAGAGTCTTGTGAAGAGATCTCATATTCTCAGACGTGAGGGAGGAACACAGGCCATTCTGAATTTCAAAAAGGATCTGAAATTAATAGACCTGTGAGAGAAAGTGTAATAGGAACCAGGTAGGAACATAGACGTGGTAGTAATGAGACCCTACAGAGGAGAGATTAAGTGCAACACAGTGGGAAAAGAGAGGAGGTTGTTTTAAAGCAAGGATAGATGCTAACAGTTGTTAAGAATCATAAGGAAGTAAATTTTTTGCAAAGTCTGTGTACTCTAGTTAGTCCTTCCCTTCCTGATGTTTAGAAAAATTCAAGCAGATAGAGGAAATGTGAAAAAGCTGCATTTAAAGATCATCAACTACACCAAATATTTGAAAAATATAGTTGCACATTTTAAGAGGTAAAATTATTCATAATACTTATAGGTGTGCTATACCTGAAAGTCTTATTTGAGTATTCCACCCAATTTTTAGCATTTGGAATGGTTTCTGTAGCTTCTTTGTTCTTCTGTGGTGCTGCTGGCAGTATTTCATTGCCAAATGAACATGTATGGTTTGTTCTCTGCATTGCAGTGCTGTTCAAGTTTTGACTTACTGACATTTTTGTGTGTAACTGAAATGCTATTTCTTGTAAGAGAGTATGTCTTAAGCAGAGTGTATCTAAATGACTAAGTACCCTGCAGGAGCAAGGCCTATAAAAAGGGCTTCCTGTTATACTAGAGTTGATTTATGAGTGGAGAGTAGCTGTGTTGCTGACAATGGTCTTTTTTTTTTAATTGTAAAAGTATTTAGGCTGATCACTTTTGTCACAGAGGCACCTGCAAAATGGAAAGCAGGGGCTATCAAAAGTAGGAGTTTATTGCAACCAAAGCTTCCCAGCGCCCCTTTTGACAAAAATCAAATTACAAGTTTAGATGTCTGTTGAGAATGTAACTACTACACAAATAATTTAAGGAATGAAGAACTGAAATGAGCATACACTCACTTATAAAGGGGAAACCTCCCACACAAGAGTGCCCACGATATCACTTACCCAAAGGGGGGGGTTAGGTGAGGCTCACTCAATCCGTGGAAACTCACTCAGTCCATGGAAGTGTCCTTGGACAGCATGTCCAAGGGGAGAGTCCACCAGCCAGGACTGCTGCTCTACCAGGAACCAACTCAACTGGTCCTTAGGCAGTGCCCCTTTTATATACCCTAGCTGAGGGTGCACTGTGGTTGTTCTAATCGGCTGAGGGGGCAAGTCCAGGCAAAACAGGCTCAGGGGTCTAGACCCTGAGGTGCCAGTCAAGCACCATGAGGAGCAGCTTCATGTCTGAAGCTTCAGACTGCTCTGGGAAGCTCTGTCTTTGTCTGTAAGGGAGGCTGCACCTACTATAACTTTGTGTATACTGATTAGATCATAATCATCGTTATTCTTCCAATACTACTCAGAAACAAGTATCAATATTGATATCTGTAGGAAAGATATTAGAGATATGTGGGTACGTAGCTTGGATGATTACGAGTAAAGCACCAGCAATTTTCACAGCATTATCATCTAGCAGACCCCTAGGTAGGTATGGGGAGCCTAACCGTGCTAAGCTGCGAGTTGCATGCACAGTAGGAAGGTGCTTCTTACCCAGAAAGCCTGCAGTTTTAAACAAGAAACAGCTGTAATGGTTGCAGCATTGTTTCCTGCCTCGGATGAGTGGTGGAAGTATGGAGAAGCTAAATTTGCAGTGGTCAGGTAAAAAGCCATTAGCCCAGATACAAAATTTGAGATCATCCTTCATCCAAAACATCATTATCAAAATTAACAATTCATTTTGAAGCTACCTAATATCCTCCTGCAGCTTTAAATTTCCAAGCACTTGCAAGTCTGCATCATAACTTCTGAGCTGGAAAGGAAATAATCAGCTTGGTTAATGTTGGGGTTTAAGAACACATCACTTTCAAGAAAAAGAAGAAAGCCTGTAGAAAATTCAGAGTATTTATTTATCTGATGTGAAAGTGAGTGAAAGGAGAGGAATCGTTTACGTTGCAGCAAAGAAGGCAAATATCAATAGGGGTGTTGCCAGCAGGTCACAGGAGGTGATCCTTCTTCCCCTGTACTCAGCACTGGTGAGGCCACCCCTGGAATACTGTGTCCAGTGTGCTGGGCTCCTCAGTGCAAGATCGACACAGACATACTGGAGAGAGTCCAGCAAAGGACCACTAAGGTGCTGGAGGCACTGCAGCCTTTCTCCTGTAAAGAAGGGCTGAGAGAGCTGAGACAGGTTAGCCTGGAGAAGACTCAAGGGGGGGATCTCATGAATGTATATAAACACCTGAAGGGAGGGTGCAGAGAAGACAGAGCCAGGCTCCTGCCAGTGCTGCCCAGTGCCAGGACCAGGGGTGGTGGGCACACAATGACACACAGAAGGTTCATTATGGACATCAGGAAATGCCGTTTCACTGTGAGGGTGACTGAGCACTGGCACAGGTTGCATGGAAAGGTGGTGGAGTCGCCCTGCTTGGAGATATTCAGAAGCCGTTTGGAGATGGTCTGGGCAGCTGGTGCAGGGGCATCTGCTTGAGCAGGCGGGTGAACCAGATGACCTGCAAAGGTCCCTCAGCTGTTCTGTGGCCTATCATTTGGAATTTATTGGCATGGTCACCAGCAGTAATGGCAAAGCCCGTATATGAGCAGTGGTTCATTCGAGCAAGTAAATTTACATTTCAATGTAGAAGAGTGAGAGCTTGTGGGGACGTGTTTCATGGCTTCAGAAAACAAACAAGCTCCTAATAAAGGCATGTGAGAAAGTTTTTGAGAGGAAAACAACATGTAATAGGAATTTTAAAATCATTACTATCTTGCCTTTTAATTCAGAAAACTACCAAGTGATAATCATAGAATCATAGAGTCCTTTAGGTTGGAAGGGACCTTCAAGATCATCACATCCAACCATTGAGCCATTAGGGCTCTAAAGTCCTCTGCTAAAACAGATCAGAATCTGTCAGGGTTGGAAGGGACCACAAGGGTCACCCAGTTCCAACCCCTCTGGCATAATAATAGTCTGATTTATCTGACAGCTTCATTTCTGTGATGTCTTTTTCCCTGATGATTTTGCCAGTGGGTGTTAGACTGATGGTTCTTTGGGGGTAGAGTCTGCATTTTTGCTTTTGACAAGGGTGTATCATCTATAATAATGATTGTATTATATATCATGAATCATTATGAAAACAATGCTGCTGGGAACATATTTTCATGGTTTAAAGTGGATTAATTGTCCACAAAAGTCTGAAGTGATGCAATTTTTCTGAAATACCTTCTAATGGAAGGTCAGGGTCCTGCAAACCATCTGTGTCAACAGTCTTGGAAAGGTACTGGTTAAAGCTGAAAAACAGTTATTTGTCTTCAGAGGTACTCTGGCTTCTATATAGTGATTAGCCCAAGCCAGGCACTACATAGGGAAGCAGCTTGAGTCCAGGTGGGAAGGATTTACTCAAGCTGACAGTAAAATCAGTGCCTTCTAGGTGTCCAGGTACCTTTTGGTGTCTGAGCTCTAGTTCTCAATAGAGAACATATCATTATCCTTGGTTTGGGTATAAAGTAAGAAGGAATAGTGAATAAGAATGGGAGAAGAGCCAGAATTGAGTAGAAAGCTATAGGCAGCAACTGTAGTTTGCTCTTCTTGGGCACACACGCTGTGGCGTTAATGACAGGATCTCAGCGTATGGAGTCAAATAGTGCTTCTGCCTAGCTTAGGCTGTAGGTTTGTCTCACGATGGGGATCACAGAATAGGTGTAACTAGAACTATATAGCATTTCCAAAATTGAGAGCACAGTTCTGCAGATCATTAGCGCTCCTAATCTGTGTTTGATTTCATATATGAAGTCTCTGCTTTCTTCATGCTTATCTATTAGTGTGGGTGTTTAAACAATAAAAGATATATTTTGTTAAAAAAGTACCAAAATATTTACACGGTGTTCTCCCTACTGACAAATCCAAAAGTAATCACAGGTTCTATTATGGGCTATAACAGTTGTTCTTTTCTTTGAAAAAAGTACCTAAAAAAATTTTGGAAGAGATTTTTTAATGACTTTGGCTCCTGTTAATTTATCAGAGCACTATTAGTCAACTGGCAAGATCAAACTGGTTAGGGTCTGTTTAATACTTTTTTTTTTTTGGTTTGCTGCTGATGTTTGCTAGGAAGAGTAAGAAAGTAACTGCCTCCTTGGATGACTCAGCTCACTCAGGAAGGTGCAGAAAATAGCTTCATAAACGAAATCCTGTAACAGCTGCCAGCTTTATTGTTTGAATTCTTTGTATCACACACAACGCTGCAATTAATACAGTATTGCTATACTCTGTAAAATTTTTCATTGGAGAATTTTCTTCCTTTGTCCCTGAAACTGCCTTTTATACAGCAGATGCTGGTGTGGATTTTCATTTTGTTCTTTAATTACTAATAGCTTGTTGATAACTCAACACTACTGGAAGGAAGGGGAAGGTTATGGTGCAGGTAGCAGACAGCTTTTTTTCACAGATGGAAGTGTTTGGCTTGGTCACTTCTTTGACTGGATTTTGCTTCCTAGCATCAGTCATGGCATTGCCAGAAAATCTCATGTTACTGTGATAACATCAAAATGAAGGAGCAAAAGTCACCTTACTGTCTGATTAAAAGTGTGGTGTGTACAAGCTCTGGGGAAACCTTCAAAACTGCAGTATGTACAGCTTTGAATTTGAAATGGTAGTAAGGGCAAGGCAGGCATAGCACAACTATGCAACAGTGCAAGTTTTCCTGTGCTGTGACACCATCTCGTTGAGCTTGCTACAGAAGTGGTTATGCATAAAAACATGCCTGTTTCCCAGGGGAAGAACTCCCTTTTCTCCTGTACCACTCTCCACTGTTTGGCAGCGTGGTTGTCTGAGGGGGGTTCTCCATAGAGCCCTGCAGAGGTCAGACAGCCAGCAGGAGCCATGCAGCCCCCGCTCTTAGCTGCTGGCTCATAGTTATCAATCCAGTGCATTGAGGTGCTGCTTCTATTCTCCCCCACTGGGAGCATCTCTGTGCTTTCCCTTTATGCTCTGTGTGGTCTGTCTGAATTGTGCGCCTCTACTAGAAGTAGCGTGGCTCGTTTCTGGGCAGGCACTGGATAACTTCTTCCTGTTTTAATGTAAACAATCAAGCAGTTGTATAGCCTTCAGTTGTGCTCTGTTAAGTGAGCTCTCCTTGCGATGGAGGACATGAGGACCTCTCCATGTTTAAAATTGTGAAATCTAAGGAGCAGATCATCTTTGAAGAGTGGCTGTTGAGTTACTTATTTCTTGTTTCCTGCTGGCTCCAAAAGGGACACTCAGGGTGCATAAAGAAGGTCTTGAATCTCCTAGAATGAGAGGAACTTTATGCAGACACTGTCATTTGCTTTCTGGTTCTTGGTCCCTGAGGGTAAGGTAAGGAAAACATCTGTGATTCTTTAACCTTCATTCTCTCTGCAATGGATACAGAGGAACAGTATTGCAGCTGTGAAAAGTACGTCCTGCTGCTGCCCTGTGCCTTGCAGGCAGGTGAGCAGGACAAATTGGTGTGGCCAGCTCCTGACTTCAATAGCATGACTACAGAAAGGAAGAGTCTAAAAGTCATTCCACTGTACCAGCCATTACTTCACAGACAGCAAGAATCAGATTGGTTCAAAGCTGCCTTTATTCTCACCTGAGCCTGGCAACTTGCAGACACTCCAGCTAGCTCCGTATCGAATAGCTGTGGCCTTTGCAGAGGTGCAGCCTTGCCTGCAGACGATAAATTGTTGCACTGTGTGTGCAAACACATGAGGTCGGTTGCTCAGAGCAGTCATAGGTCTTACTGTTGTTATGTATTCCCATGCAGTTGGTGCATTTCTTTATTAGACTGTGTGGTGATGTGGCCATTCTCTCCCAAGGACGTAGGATATCTGAGATCATAGTTTAATATTTATACATATGTGATCTTCCTCAGGGCTTTTCTGATTGAAGGGGCCTGACTAACTACGTGTGAAATGAACTACAATGCAGGAAATGGATTATGACTTTTTCCATTTCCTCCAGTTCTAAATAATTGATTAGCAGACACTAGAAAAAAAAGTATGTAAAATAAGATACACTAAATTTGCATCTCATAAGTATCCAGTAAAGGGAAAATTAATATTAGTGCTTCAACTGATTTTAATAGCTGTATCCCATTTCGCATATGTTTTTAATTTGCTGATCTCTTTTCCTATTTTATAATCTCATCCTTAAGGCTACTCTATTGGTGCCACTTGGGTAGGGAACTGTTGTGAGCAGAAATTTTGTATTTTAACTGTGGATTGAGTTTGGTTGTTACCTAACTTTTCGCCTATAAAATAAAATGTGACACACTGAGAGGAAGAAGGGAAGGTATCAAAGAATTTCATTTTTTCACCATCCAGTGAATTAGCTTGAGGCAACGCATTGAAAGGTGAGGTGATAGTGGATAACAGTTCCAGTAGTTGTCAAAATGGCATACTGGATGGTAATTTCTGCAGCATATTTGACCATTTCCATGCAAGTAAAAAATTTTCTCACTTCTTTCAGTAGAGAAAAGGTTTCTTCTGCTTGCAAGTGGCCAGTGCATATGTGTAATCTTTCTGGGAATATGAAGACATGCTGTTCCAGGGTTTTTCTGGTTGAATTCCCATCCTTTCAACGTAGGAACGCAATGATATTGTATGAACAAACTCTATTTTGACTAGTTTTGTGGTAATTCAGACTTGATTCCTTCCCTTTCTGAAAGCTTCCTGTGCTCTTTCTTTTTTTTTTTTTTTTCAGAGATTATTTGCTTGACTGTTAAATTTAGCTGATTTCTTTTGGGTGGAATCACAGCATGCTGTGGCTTTTTGTATCGTTTAGAAACAAATCAGCATTCCAGCATTTTGTTAACAAAAGGTATTCTCTAATTAATTAACAGTGGACTACTGGGGTAACATTTATAATCTTGAGCTCAATTCTGAAAGTTTTGTGCACAGGCAAAATAGAATCACTGGTGGTAATTAATGTCTTACTGGTATTTTGGTTCCCTCCCAGGAATGCTATGGTTTTGGATTTGTGTAAATTTCCTAGAATCATGGAATGGTTTCGGCTTGAAGGGACCTGCCTCAAAGATCACTTCATTCCAATCCCACTGCCATGGGCAGGGTCACGTCCCACTAGATAGGGCTGCACAAAGCCCCACTCAACCTAGTCTTGAACACGTTCATTATTGGGACATCTACAGCCTCCTTGGGCAACCTGTTGCAGTGACTCATCACCCTCATAGTGAAAAACTTCCTCATAATTCCTAATCTAAATCTACCATTTTCCAGATTAAAGCCATTACCCCATGTCCTATCACTACAGACCCTCATAACAGTTTTCTTGTAGGCCCCATTGCATGTTTTCTTGTCTAGTTTCTCCCTGTTCTTCTCTCTGAGAATGTTTTTTTTGCTTTTCTAGAACAACCAAAAGACATTGTACCTTATATGATGGACAGCATTCCAGTCTTTCAGGAGTATGTCATATTCCAATGGCAGAGCCGTTCTGCACCAAAACCAGAGAGGTTGGTGAATCTTATAATAGTGTTTAGAAATGTTATTTTTGTGGCACTTATTCATTATATAGTAGTTTAAGTGTGCATTCTTAGAATACAGAGACAATCTGCACCACTTTATTCCTGTTTCTCAGGCAAGTCATGATATTAAGGAAAAATGTAACATTTGGAAGGCATGGGAACTAAAAGATCTTGTGTCTATAGGAGCTGTCTTCCTAAGGGAGCTGTGCAAAAGGTGTCAGTTTGCAATCTAGATTTCCCTGGGATCTTAATAACAGGACAAAATTTCTTTACTTTTCAGGTAACAAGCCAAGAGAGCAACAAAGTGAACAAAGCAGAAATATATAAATCAGTTTCTTTTTCTGAGTAAAACTGTGTCTATGGTAGGGGCACTCTACATACTTAATACAAAGAATTAAATATATAGTACTGTAGCTTTCACAGAAATTCCCATATTGCATCTGTGCTTGTGTGCACTGTGGCAGTGGGTGGTGGTGGAGAGTCAAGGCTTGGTTTAAAAGATGTTATATATAGGAACAAGATAAATTACTGTAGCCTTTTATTGTTAACTGTTGCTCTTAGTTTTGTTCACTTCAAACCACTTACAGTAAAGGTGTAAGACACTGATCTGTTTTCCAACACCTTTATAAGCTTCTGGGAGGAGTGTATCTGTGATTAAATATGCCACCTTCGTGTATTCTTAGGCCTGAGGAGAAAGGAAGGTGAAGACTGAGCTGCACACTTTGTGCTGTTGTGGCATACTCTGGTCAGAAGCTGCAAGGAGGTTCATTCTCCAGGGGCATGGGACTGCTCGTAGAACCAGTCATACCCACCTAAGACACCTGATCTGTGTGCAGGCTGTTACTGCACTGAGCAGGACACAGCTGAGCTGTGAAGCAGGTGGCCCAGTCTGTACCCAGAGCACGTACCAATATTTGTATTTATGAACAGTGCTGCTCTCATCACCAGTTCACTTCAGTGTCATTAGAGGCTGTTTTTGTTAACTGGGCAGACACTAACAGGGTGGTTTCGAGGTGTCCACCAGCAGGTCCACAGCACTGTTAGTAGAACAATGCTTCGGTGCACTGGGACTCAAGGTGTTTTGCAATAAAATAAAGGTATTTTAAATCTCATCAGGAAACAAACTGTTATGTATTATACACATGCATGCTTTTGCCCTTCTTCCGTGGAGCAGCGAATTATACAAAATACTTTTGCATTTTTCATGCAACAAGAGCCTAGCCACATGCTCTTACCAGAGGTAAACTGGCACATAGTTGCTTACTGACTTGGAGCATGATGTCATGTCACAACAGATACGAGGAGTTTATTGAGAGCTAACGGCACACTTTCTGGAATGGATTAAAACCAGTGTTATTACTGAAATGATTTGCAGTACTTCACACTGTGCCCCTTCCTCATTTTTTTAAAAAGATGAGTAGCTACACAAAAGCCATTTCTTGAGGTTGCAGGGAACTTATGCCAAAGCTAGTTTTCTTTCAGTTGTTAGATACCTAGAGGCAGTGTTCTCGGGGTATTACAATTTTGGAAAAAAACAACAGAGAAATGCTCCTTTTCAGATAAAAAAACATTTAGGTGCTTCCCAGTCTCGCATGTGATCCTTACCTCATTAGCCTATGCATTCTAGTCACTAACAGATGTTCTAAAGAACATGTGGTTTTGAGCTCTTAGTGATGCTGAACAGGGATACTTCCACTTCATTTGAAAATACCAGATAAAAGTGACTTAAACTGTTTTCCTAGAACTATCCCTGAAAATTCTTGGAATCATTTCAGACAAGTTTATCCCAGTTCAGGGGAAATTCATAGATAAAAACAACAATTACAAAGCCCAAACTATTAATGTAGTAGACTATTTAAGGAATTTTGCATGAAAACACTTGAAAACATTATGTTACATTGCATTTGTGCAAATACATGAAAATACTGTTTTATTTGGTTTATGCAGTGTATATTAAATGAGACTCTGAAAGGATTATCTTTTCTCCAACTGCAAATTTATTAATGACTTAGGGTGCCTTGGTTATTACTGCTTTTGGAAGCTGAGACTCATTACAACATCTTACAGGGTGTGAAGATGGAACTCTGTAAAGAGTTTCAGGGGAATACTGATCAACTGTGGTTTAAGTCAAACCACATCTGTAGTTGTCTGTTGATATGTTAACAATGTGTAATTAACTGTCAATCAGTAAGTTACGTATTAGAGTGAATATCAGCAATAAATCACAATATTAGAATCATGCATTTGTTTAGGTTGGAAAATACTTTTAATATCAAGTCCAACCATGTGATTAGGTATGACTAATATTAACTTACAGCATGTTAGCAGACACCTACAAATTTCTAAGTGTCCTTCCACTAATCCCCAAAAGCTCTGCCTTGTCCCAGCACGCATATTCATGCAGTTTCATGCACAAATACCCCTCCGCAGCACATGTGGGTTACATGCACACTCAGTCTCTCCTGGGAGTGCTGGTTTACCTGTTTAGATGCATCTGCAGTGGGAGATGTGGGTACTGCAGTTCTATGTGTACTTGTGCTGCTCCACACAATCCACTGTGCCAGCGAGGAGGTTCCCCACGAGGTCATGTAGCACACTCAAGGTATCGCTGCGCGTTGCACTCACGTGTGGCAGGCTCACCCAGCTGGAGTGTTGGCTTCTCACAGCTTTGCAGGACGCCTGCTCCACCTGGCCTGTGTGAAGGTCATGATGCTGACAAGTTAGCTTCTGGTGGCATTGGGCTATGTTTTCACTGCTGCTGTGCCATGGAGGTATCTTCTGTACCATCGCCATTTTTTTTTGTACTGCTTTTACATTTCTTTCAAGGGCTTTCTGTTGATGATCATTTTAAACACATATCATCATGGTTACTTTCCCCTTCCTACTCATGACAGCTGTGAGTGTCCTAGTCCCATTTACACATGCTGGTACACTCTTAGGGTTACCCAGACCATTTACCAAGAGAAAAAGTCATGATCATTCTGCCACAAAAAGGACTTGCTCAAACTGTGAAGACTAATATAAAGCACATGGTATGTGTCAAGTGCTCAGTCACTGGCATGGGAATATGTGGTGACAATTTCTCTACAGATTTCCAGGGTATTCTTTGAAGTATCTCCTTATTAAGTTTTTCTGACTATTGTTTTCACCGTGGTCTCAACTCCACCACCATGTGGTAACCTAGTGCTCAGTGGAGCATTTTCACTGTTCTGTTCTCCATGTAAGAACAGCCTAACTAGCATGCTGCATTTTTCAGTTTGCTAATCTCCTTGGTCTGCATTGAATCCAACTGATACTAACAAAATCAGGTGAGTTCAAGATCATTCCTGTTAGTAGGACTATTAATTTCTCTTGCTGGATGAGAAAACTGAAACTGATCCTTGGTTTTGGACAGCTGTAGCTATATAAATCTTGATTGCCTTGTATAAAGCTAATTTCTTTTGTATGTAAGTTTTTTGATGGGATGCAAAAGCACCAGGGGAATTATTTCAATTTCCTGATATTTTCAGGTTCTTATTGAGACTGCCAAGAAGCTTGGGCTCCAGTGTCATTCCAAGGGGACAATGATCACTGTTGAAGGCCCACGTTTCAGTTCTCGAGCAGAAAGCCTGATGTTTCGCAGCTGGGGAGCTGATGTTATCAACATGACCACAGTGCCTGAAGTGATTCTTGCGAAAGAAGCTGGAATGAGTTATGCTAGTATTGCCATGGCAACAGATTATGACTGCTGGAAAGAACATGAAGAAGCAGTGAGTGATTTTTTTTTTCCTCTGAGTCTGGTCCTGAGGGATCTGGATCAGAACCTGTAGGTTTTGAGAAGAGATCACATACCGAAGTGAATCTGTTCTTTCTTACATCAATATCACTGACTTTTCCAGAACCAACTGTTGCTACCTCATTCATTCTCATAAACTTGCCTCAGTTACTAGCAAATCTTTTGTCTTCCTTTGTCTGGATCAAGGGGTCTGTACTTATGAAGCTCATGAGCTCTGTGTGTGAGCTTATCTTCCTGTAACTGGTGTTTTTTCTTTTGCAGCTTTGTGCAGAGTGTTGTATCTGTTTTAGTTCTATTAGTGTAAAATACAATGAGATATACACCCACAGAGGAAAAAAGCTTTTACTGGCTCAACATTTATGGCATTTTAAGGCTTCACATTTTCACTTAGAGATGCACAAGTTAAATGAATTTATTTGTTTATTTAAAACATGTGCCATCAAAATTGTGAGACATCACTTAGTTTTATTTTATTTCTAGGTTTCAGTGGATAAAGTGTTAAAGACACTGAAAGGGAACGCAAATAAAGCTACCAGCATACTCCTGACTGCTATACCTCAGATAGGTTCCATGGAATGGACCGACACCCTGCACACCCTGAGAGTAAGTACACATGAGGCTGGTGAGTACCCAGGACAGTGTATGCATATATGCACATGATACAGCTATATGTTTTGAGATGTTTCTGCTTACTTTGTAACTTCTTAGAGTAGATGCTTCAAGAAACCAAATATGTTCAAGGTGGGCAAATAAATTCATTATGACTTTACAAGCTTTATTGCAAAGGTCTTCAGTTTTACAAGGTGTTACAAAAGGTAGAAAAAATAAGAACATCTACATGTGGTTGGTGAGGTGTTATCTTTAATAGCACAGATAGTATAGAAATCTATGTAAGCATCCAAATGGAAAACCTGTACCTCTTCCCAGCTCTAGGTGGAGAGCCAAACAGAGAAGACTGAAACAAACCAAAACCACTGTGCTCTCATTAACATGTAGCAGAGGAATCTGTTACATGATATGGGTAATAACCAGTCTGAAATGATTGCAGCTGTGTTCTCCCACAGGTTTGAGATCCACAGTGCATGAAAAATATGGCAAAGAAAAACATTTCAAAATATGTTGGTGAGGGAACTTTTAGACAGAATTTTTCTTCGAGAACAGTTTATATGTTTTACATCACCTCTTTCACAGACATGCTTGAGATTAGTTTATGGCTATAGACTAGGGGGAAAGGATAACGTTAAAATGGTTTAGATATTTATCCAACTTCTCGACAAGCTTTTTATTATAAATAGAGACTTCCAGGAGTACAATAGAATAAAGCATGAAAGCAACTGAGGATTACACTGAGATGGTGTGAAGGACACAGAAAGAAAACTGGAATGTAAAGAAAGGGAGCAGAGAGAAGTGGGCCACAAGGATCTCTATTAGTGGAAGCAGCAGCAGTCTGAAAAGGAGGAATCGTAGACTGTTTTAGGCTGGAAGGGACCTCTAGAGGTCGTCTGGTCCAACCTACCCACACAAGCAGGGACTGCTCTACCTGGGTCACATCACTGAGAGCCCCATTGACACTGACCTTGAATGATTCCAGGGGTGGGGCCTAGACCACCTCTCTGGGAAGCCCATTACAGTAGTTATCACCCTTATATTAAAGAACTTTTTTCTAATATCCAGTCTAAACCTATCATTTCCTAATTTAAAACTATTACTCCTTGTCTTATCATTCCAAACTCTTTTTGAATAGACCTTCCCCCCTCTTCATGTAGGCCCCTTTCAGGTACTAGAAGGTCACTATAAGGTCCCCCCAGAACCTTCTCTTCTCCAGGCTGAACAGCCACAACTCCTTCAGCCTGTCTTCATGTGAGAGGTGCTCCAATGCCTTGATCATTTTGGTGGCCCTCCTCTGGACTCGCTTCAACAGATCCACATCCTTCTTGTGCTGGGGTTTCCAGAACTGGTCACAGCACTCCAGGTGAGGTGTCACCAGGGCAGAGTAGAGCAGCAGAATCACCTCTCTTGATCTGCTGGCCATGCTTCTTTTAATGCAGCCCAGGATGTGATTGGCCTTCTGAGCTGCGATTGCACATTGGTGGCTCATGTCCTGTTTTTTATCCACCAGCACTCCCAAGTCCCTTTCCACAGGACTGGTCTCCAGTATATCCTCTCCCAGCCTATACTGATAGTGCTGTGTAGGACCCTGCACTTGTCCTAGTTGAACCTCAAGAGGTTCATCTGGGCCCACTTCTGAATCCTGTTCAGGAAACTTTCAGAGAGTCCAGTCTCTGATAACTCTCTTCTCTCTTAGGTTCTTTCTGTCTGTTATCTGAAAATCACTGTGGTGACTGAAGGGCTAAAGAAGATGAATACAAACATAAGTCATGTCCTCATAAACCTGAAAGTGTGTCCCTGAAATTCAACTATCAAATGAGCTGTTTGTGCTTTAAAAATCTACCATGTCTTCTGATTTCCATTTTGCTTCCAATATGGTTCTTTTGTTGGTGGTTTTGATCTCCAGTTTAGTCAGTGAGTTAAAGGAAAAAAATATTAAGCAAAATTTACCTCAGACACTTTTAAGTAGTCTTGACCAGGTCGCATTTGTTTAAGTCCAACACAAACCCTTGAAGTGAGTCTTTTGCTGATTCTTCACTAGACAACTTCCTTTTCATTAGGAGGCCTTGGACTGTACCTCTGTACTCTGCACCGGTGAGACCACACCTTGAGTCCTGGGTCCAGTTTTGGGTACCACAGGATAAGAAGGACATAGAGGTGCTGAAGCAGGTCCAGAGAAGGGCAACAAGGCTGGTGAGAGGGCTGGAAAACATGCCTTGTGAGGAGCAGCTGAGGGAACTGGGGGTGTTCAGTCTGGAGAAGAGGAGACAGAGAGGAGACCTTATTGCTCTCTGCAGCTACCTAACAGGAGGTTGTAGTGAGACTGGTGTTGGTCTCTTCTCCCAAATGACTGATGATAGGACAAGAGGAAATGGCCTCAAGTTGTGACAGATTTTGATTGGATATTAGGGAGAATTTCTTCACTGAGAGAGTGGTGAGGCACTGGAACGGGCTGCCCAGGGAGGTGGTGGAGTCACCATCCCTAGAGTGTTCAAAAAACGAGTGGTGGTGGCACTTGAGGCTATGGTCTAGTGGTTAGGGAAATGTTGGGGGGAAGGTTGGATTGGTGATTCTAGAGGCCCTTTCCAACCATGGTGATGCTATGATTCTGGTTATGACTCTTCCTCACCTGATTATCTGAAACAGTGATTTTAATATCCCCTCTATACACTTCTGAGAGGTAACTGACTTTTCTCTTTCCTCATCACAGTCCTTAGGGAATTGTGTCATGGGTGGGTGAGGGAGACAACAGAATCACTATTCCTTCTCTTCTCTAATCCACAGAAAACATTTTCAGTGGACTGGGCCAAACTTTTTATTTAATACAGATACCTAGCTTTAAAAAAATAAGAGGGTTTCAACAAATAATCTAAAAAATGTGATAAATATTCCTACTTTGGTCATGCTGGCATGCAAGAAAACTTACCAAGTGTATAACACTGCTTAAGTACTGAGGGACCTACCTCCAGTTCTGGCAGGTATACTTCAGTAAGGAGTGTCCTGTTGCTTTTGCTTGTATGATTGTCTTGATTCTTCATCCGACTGGCATTGAGTTTGCAAGTTCCTTTTAGTGAACACTAACCCTTCTTGCAGTTCACTGTCAGCTGTTCAAAACTGATTCAAGTGCTTCCTCCAGAGCTCAGCCCCTGAACTACTGTGCTGAAAGAAGAAAATGTGATGCACCAGAGGAAGGGTCACTTCATTCTAATGTAGCTTCTTATGCTCTTCCTCTTAAGCATCTGCTGCTGCCTGGTGTCAGTAGTGAATATTGAGACTGTTTCACTTGGGCTTGACAATTCTTAAGTGTTTATGCTCTTTGCTGATAGTGGCTGATTTGAGTGCTAGTATACTAAGAAATGGAGTTGATCTGAAGGCATCAGAAGAATGTGAAACAGGAACTAGGTATTGGCAGTGTGGACTGAGTTTTTGTCGGGAGAGCTGGAGTCACAATTGTTTCTTGTTTAACACAACCAAGTACTCTGGAAAAGTGACAGGAAAATCTGAGGCTTTGGAAGCTTCTTTTGATTTTACTTAGGAATGGCAGGAAAGGCTAAAAATCTTTGTGTTTGAGGCATTAAATAGCAGTGAAGTCAATGAAGGATTGGCATTTCTGTGTTAATGAATGAGAGGGAATTTTACACTACAGCAGAGGGAGAGACAAATGCATGTGCCTCTGTACAAAGAGTTTTAAAAAACTATTCTCTTCATAGATGTGAAGTGTTCTTCTGTGTATTGTACTCTGGGAATTTTGAAGGTGAGATGATGGGTTTTTTAACCAATATTTTTTGTAGGCACCTCCTCCTAGTGCTTGAAGGCATTGCCTCTTGCGTGCCCTGTGGTAATGTGGTATGGAAAGCAGACAGGGAGGGAGCTGAGCCAGACTGCAGCTGGCACTCTGCTCTCAGTGACCATGTGAAGCCACACCAGCCTATATCGAGGTTGCAGCTTGGCATCTCAAATGGGCATTTGCCAGTGTCAGTTCCTGGTGTCTGGGGAAGCGTGTGAAACCGTAACACTCCCCATGGACACTGCTTTTCCTTTCTGAGCTCTGAGGTCTGGCTGGTACGACTGGAGCAATTTCTCCAGGCAGGAGGAGGTATGCCACCAGTCTCTTTGTCCATCTGCATTTGTCTGTCTCCTTCCACAGAGGTATGCATCCCACACACACACATAAAAGAAGAAAATGTGATGCACCAGAGGAAGGGTCACTCTTTCGTGTCACCTCTGAATCTCACAGTAGTCTTTAGGAAACCCTGAAGTGTTGAAGCAAAAATGTCCAAGGGATGCTTTTCTGCTAAAGGATAGGCTTTTCATGCGTCCTTTCATCTGTGATATGGCAGTGAGTATAAGTATAGTCTGAAAGTGACTATTTTTAACTGCCTAAGGTGTCTTTAGGCCAGTATTTGCTGGCTCTATTGCTGTAAAAAGAGACCATTTTCCAGACTCAGTTTACATGATCTTAAAAAAAATAGTTTGGAGCAAACTTTTCTGTAGGCACAGTATCTTCCTATAGCCCGTCATTTTGAGGCATGGCCAGGATACAAAGCTCTTGCTCTTTCAGAACTGAGTATGAACACATTGTATTTTTGTCACGGATCAGGGAACACAGATGATGCAATTGATTGCATTGGTCCAAGTGATTTCTGGCCACTGTCGTGGAAATTTCTGGTCATCCGTGGGTGAGTATGGCTGGATCTGCTATTCATTGAGAAGTTGTTTAGTGAGGTGGTAATCACTGGAGGTTGTTGCTGTAATGTTCATGAAATAGTGACATTCATAATCCTGTGGGGAGTGAGGAAGGCAAGTAGCAAAGTACAGATCCTGGAGTTCAGGTGAGCATTCTGGTGTTCAACAGGTGAAGTAGCAGGTATCCTCTCATGGGATATCCTTTTCATGGGTGGCAGCTCTGAAAGGACAAGGAGCTCCAGAAGGCTGGCAAGTCTTTAAGGGCAGCATTGTCCAAGCACAAGAGTGACGACAGAAAAACCAATCAGGAGACTGACTTGACTGAACAGGAGACAGCTCCAGTGCAAAAATGCAGCGTTCAAGGGTTGGAAGCAGGGGCAAGCTACAAAGAAGAAATGCAGAAGCAAGAGCAGGCATGTAGGGATGGCCTTGGGAAAATTAAAGCTTGCCCATATTTGACATGTGGAAGGGATGTCAAAGGCAGGAAGAATGTCATCCACTGGATTGATATCAAAGGCTGATCAAGTAAAACATAGGCTTGTTGCTGAATGAAGTAAACAAATCCATGACAGCAGACAATTTCAAAAGGGAACAAATATAGTAGATTTTTTAAAATCTTTGTTAGGAAAAGTATCGGTGAGAGAAGAAAAACTGTCTTGTTGAAAAGAATTTTAATCAGAACAACTGGAAATAGAGCTCTGTACCTTTATTACAGTAAGGCTCAACCCCATGAGAACTGGGAGAGAATCTGTACTGGGATGGTAAAAGGAATGTCATGCCAGAACTGATTTTTCTTACAGCGTGGGTGTTAGAAGAGCAGATTGTGGTAAGGTGTCAGAGCTTCTCTAAATGCTCCTCAGGGAAATTTGGCTCTGTGAGGAGACCTGCTGATTCTGCTTGCCTTTTTTTAGGTTTTGTACTAGCCTGTGTGAAATGGTATTTGTCAGACCTCTGATACCAGGAATAATGTTGTATTTTTGTAAGAGAGCTGTGGTGAGTGAATACAGGGGGATAGTTTTGGTTGAGTAAGGCATCTGCTGTTGTGTTTCGCCCCAGTTCATTGACAGACATGGTCTTTAGTATGTGATAGATAACAAGTTGAAGGGCTAACGTTTTTCGGTCATTTTGTTCTAGTCTGTCACAGACTGAAACTGAGCTTTGTAAGTTATGGATGTAGAGCTCTGATCTTGTGGATGTTACATATGCACGTACATGTAAGCCAGTGTGCGAGTCTTGGAAATGAAAAGCAAGCTGCACAGTTTTTCATTTGGACCCTGTGAGCCTGAAGTCCTTTATGTAAAGTTTCTGCAATATAATTGTTGTTCTCAATACCAAGAAGCCTGTTACATAAGTTTAAGAAGTTGTAATGACAAGTCCTTGAACTGTTGCAGGATATGGCCTCCTTGTAATTCTTTTAAATGTTGTGGTGCTGGAGGAATTTGGAGATACTATGCACATGGAAAATATTACACCTGTCTGTAATCCAAATGGAAGCTGTGTCATCTGCCTCAATGCTGAAAAGTAATTCTGCTCTGCATTGGCAGAAAGAGAATTCATCTACTCTGACTTTGTATTTCAGACGGCAGTGCAGTGTTCAGTCATCCTGCCAAAGCAGTAACAACCTGGATGGACCTTGGCGTTTGGGTCTGACAAGGAAGGTGGATCACTTTTGAACTTCCAGAGGTTACAATAGCTTCAAAAACTGTACAAGTAAAAAAGAATGCAGTAAGTGTTGAGTAATGATAATGTGTAAGGCAGCTTTTATAATCCTTATTATGCTTGCTAACATATAAGATGGTTAAAGTTAGATGTTGAGTGTATTTTAAGCTAGGAATAGTTCTACTGTCAAGCTGGATCAGACGGTGGCTGAAGAAAGAAGTCAGTTGTGAGTTGACATCCTCTACTAAGAGATACTTTTCAGTTGATGGAAAAAGAGAAGGCTAGGTAATACTCATGTGCAGTTTCATAAAACAAGATCTAGAAAAACAAATTCACATATATGCTATTTGCTTTGCTGTTTCTGCCTCCCACCTTTTCCTTCAACAAGGCAAATGGTTACAATTCACTCCAGAAAAACTGAACAGACAGTCTCAAAGTAAAAATATATTATTTTTATACATTGTGCGTATTTTTTTATTTTTTTTTGCCTTTTTTTTTAAAGCAATGGATTTTGTTAGTGTGTTAGAAGACATGGTTTAATAATTGTGGTATTTTGTAGTAGCAGTGGTAATGGATGAATGTTCTTATCAAAAAAATACTTAGGTAATGCCTAATCCAACGTTGTGCCTGAAGATGTGCTTATGCGACTTACAGAACGGTACAGAAAAGCCCTTTGCCAGTGTCCTGAACACTGTGCTGGACTTCTGCTGCCTCACTGCTCTGAACAACTCTTGGGTTTCCTTTCTGGTTTAAGTGATGAATATGATCAAGTGCTTTAAATGTATGTATCTGTTACATTTTTTTGTAATACAATATGACCGATAAAATTATCTGCTGCTTTTTGTCTGATAAATAAAGCCAATGAAACCTATGCTTCTCCAGACTGTGTGGGAACTGGTTTTTGTTTACTTCTGATCACTATTGTGGGAATTTTGTTTGTCTGACAATGACTTTTGCCATTCAAAGAAGAGAGTGATGGTGATGCCTTGTAAATGCTGCTTTTAGAAAGACCAGTTTTAGAAAACACTCTGCTGGATAGAGCCTAAAGTTCTAAGTCTCTGAAAGTCCAAAGTGTTACAGTCAATAGCTCAATATCTAAGTGGAAACCAGTAATGAGTGGTGTCCCTCAAGGGTCTGTGCTGGGACCAGTACTATGTAATATCTTAATCAATAATAAGAGGAGTTGAGTTTGTGGATAACGCCAAGCTGAGTGATGCAGCTGATGTGCTGGAGGGATGGGATTGCCCTCCAGAGGTGCTTGGACAGGCAATCCCTGTCAGGACGCATGCAAACCTCATGAAGTTCAACAGGGCCAAGTGCAAGGTCCTGCACCTGGGTCAGGGCAATCCCAGGCACCAATACAGGCTGGAGGAAAAAACTGCAGAGAAGGCCTTGGGATACTGGGGGATGAAAAGCTGGACCTGAGCCAGCAATGCATGCTTACAGCCCAGAAGGCCAAATACATCCTGGGCTGTTTCAAAAGAAGTGTGGCCAGCAGGTGGAGGGAGATGATTCCACCCCTCTGCTCTGCTGTGGTGGGACCTCACCTGCAGCACTGTGCCCAGCTCTGAGTCCTCAGCACAGAAAAGACTTAGGCCTGCTGGAGCAGGTCCAGAGGAGGGCCACAAAAATGATGAAGGAGCTGGAACAGCTCTGCTATGAGGAAAGGCAGCAAGAGCTGAGGTTGTTCAGCCTGAAAAAGAGAAGACTCTGGTGAGCCCTTATTGCAGCCTTTCAATACCTGAAGGGTGCTCCTAAGAAGATGGGGACAGACAGTTGAATAGGGCCTGTAGCGAGAGGACAAGGCGGAATGATTTTAAACTAGAAAGTGGAGACCTAGATTAGATGTAAGGAAGAAGTTTTTCACTGTAAATTTGCTGAAACTCTGGCCCAGGTTGCCCAGAGAGGTGATAGAAGTCCCATCCCTGAAACACTGAAGGTCAGGTTTGACAGGGCACTGAGCAACCGATCTGGTTGCAGATATCCCTGCTCACTGCAGAGGGTTGGACTAGATAACCTTCAAAGGCCTTTCCATCCTCAAGTATTCTATGACTATGGTTATCTCATTGTGAATATTTTGTAATTCACATTTGCTTTAGTTGCCTTTATCCCATCATTGGTTTTATGTAAGTGTTAATTTAAATATTACGTTATCAGTGAGTCACCAAAGATGCTTGCGGAGCAGAGTGGATACCTTTGATGGCTGAGCACAATGAAGGACTGTGATTAACTGGCCAGCATCTGTTGGAAATTGTGTGAGTCATTACTTCTTACACTAACTCCCTTATATATACACTGTTTCCCTGCAAAGATCTTACTGTTAGGCTGCTGCTTGTGACATGGCTGTGACAGTTCAAAGCCAGAGAGGAAGGGAAAAGTTCTCCTGCAATCGACACCTTTTTGTGTCCCTCAGACTGTGAAGGTGATGTCTCTTTCACGTTTTGGCATTGTGAACAGGCTGGGGAGGCCTGGCTGAATCTGCCAGCTCATGTAGAGTTCTCCCTGTGTAGACCTGTCTGTGAAGAGTTGTCCCACAGAGCTGGGCACAGAGAGTTGTCCTAGGCCCAGTTTCTAAGTGTGTATTAGTTGGCAGCATGTTTTCCAAAGGAAAAAAAAGAAGTCATTGTGAGACAATGGGAAATGCATTGTACAGCTGCTGAAATTGTGTAATATTTGTAACGATACAAGGGGTGAGATGTTGTATCAATTTATTTGGATTTTGGAGTTTGAAGCTACATGTGCAGGGGGACACTGTAGTGGCATCTCTTCTGACAATATCTTTTCAAAGGTTATTGTGATCTTTGCATGGCTAATTATATTTTTTATAAAAAATAAGATGTACTATAACAATATTATGATTTAATATTGTTAATAATTTAAGGTTACTATTTTTCAATCTCATTTCTACATAAAGTGTATCATAATAGTGTACAACCAATACAGAAAACTGAATTAACAGAAACCCCATTGTTATTTTGTGGGGTTTTTTTAGTTTGTTTTGTTGTTGCTGGTTTTGTTGGTTTTAGTACAAACAGGAAAAAAAAATCCTTCAAGAATCCTTATGATGAGCAACTTGGGTGTGATAGTCAAGCAATAAAATCTGATTGCGAAATAGATTTTCCTCTTTATTGCACCTGAGGGGGAATTAATCATATTGCAATTAAAATGGATTTCTTTCACTGAACAGAAAAAAAAGGAATTAAAAAATATCTTTATATTGAGATATTCAACCCAAAGGTTTGTAAAACACTTTATGCCTGCTGTATTAGAGAACATTCAGTGACTTTTGAAGGGGAAGACACTTTTTACCCTTCCCCTTTTTAGCCAAAAGAACCACATAACAGCTTAGAGTTTTCAAATGGTTAAATTAAAGTTGACAGAATTAAATTACATGGATCAAACTTAAAAAATGTTTAAAAAAAAAAAAGGCAAGAAAACTAAACCCCTCCTTTTTTTGAACAAAAAATATTATTGTAATTTTTCATAACTTGGCTTTTTTCACACCCTGGTGTCTTGTAAGTGGAGAATTCCACAGTAACTTGTGTGAAAAAAGATGACCAAAGGAAGCAAAACTCCTTTCTTTTTGGAAATGGGGATTTACCTGGGAGGAGGGGAAAAAAAGTAAAAATAAAAAGGAAATAAAATGGGCATACATTTAATCTGCTATTAGGATACATACATACGAGGAGGTATGTGTGTTTCTAACAGGGTGGTAGGAGCATTTATGGCAGTATCAGGTTATTTTTCTGACCCGTTCACATGTCACATGGCTTTGGTTTCACCAGTGACCTGGTTACGGGAGGCTGACCAGGCTCCTACCTTGCTCTTACAGTGGTGATGGTTCAAAGCTGCTCCCAGGGAGGTTTGGACTGGACCTGAGGAATCAGTTCTTTACTGAGAGGGTGGGCAGACACTGGAACAGGCTTCCGAGAGAGGTGGCTGATGTCCCAGGCCTGTCAGTGTTCAAGAGGTTTCTGGGCAACACCCTGAACACGTTCCACCTGTGTCAGACCTGAACCCACCAGGCAGTTGGACTAGATGATTGTTGTAGGTCTGCCAACTGAACAATATTCTTTCCTTTTTTTCTTTTTTTTTTCTTTTTTCTCTTCCTTACCTCTTCCTCTTCCCCTTCCCTTTTCCCCCCAAATCTGTGGTGAATTAGTAATCCTGTTTTCCTGGAATTCATCAGTTTGGTAATAAATTAAGAGCCACGAGACTCTTATCTGTCATTAAACAGTGGTTTTGCAATTATCTTTTCTGAAGAAGCTGTGTTAAACATTTTTTGAACTACGTGCATTCAAGGAGGTGTAAAGTTTCAGAGATGCGCACAAATAAAAATGGCTGTGAGTGCAGAAACTCATGGAGTCACAATAATACTGGGACAGTACTTGGGATTTGCACACAGCTGCACACAAAACCATGAGCTTTCAGTAGCTGGAGATATACTGCCTTCATCTCAGAGATGGGTTTCTGTGCCATTGAACGAGTATTGCAATATGATTGTTTTCAATGCTGGCAACAATTTGGAAGCTTCAATAGCAGGCAAGTTTAGAAGTATCAAACATATTCTTTAGTTAATGTAATATAACTAAAAAAATAAGTAGATCTGTAACAAAGGTTAGTAAGCTGGCTCCTGACTTGAACGAAATTCGTGAAAAGGTCATCAGTGGTTTTTGGATCACTGTGGATGGCACAGGAAAGACAAAACCTGGAAAGTGTCATAAGAAACTTAATTCTGCTGAAAAGACACTGAGCTTTGCATCAGTCCAGCACAATCTTCAGTCTGTTGTTAGTGCTGGGTTGTTCAGGAAAGCTCCAGAGCAGAAATGGCATGATGATGGAAGCCTTTCCTTGAAGTCTAGGACAGGCTTTTTTAGTGCTCTCTGGTTACGCTCTGTAAGTCCAGCCGCTCCTCCCCAGGCCTGGAGCTGTGCATGGGGTTGCTGCGGCCCAAGTGCAGGACTCGGCGCTGGGCCTTGTTAAAGCTC